CATACATACATCCAACCCTAAATATACCTTAAAAACAAAATCAAAATACTTCTATACATTACATCCTCCACATCCTTCACATAAGCCAAAACATACTTCACCAAAAAAACACTCAAATCCCCAAGACAAGCACAAACAAACAAAACAAAGACAATAATCTACATCTGGGACCTCGACAATGCATCTCGCTCATGAACAACTTGGCATTCCAACTTTAAACTCTTTTCTTGTGCTCTCCGGGCCATTCGAGTCTTGTAGAATTCTTTCCCGGGGTGTAAATAAGGTCCTTACCTCTCGCCCTTTCTAGGTTGTAGGTGATTCAAGGTAATACGTGCTAGAGGAAGAGGGTGGGAACAAGACGCCGCATCAGCACACATGTACAGCAGACGAGACTCGCCGTAAACACTTTCGGGGGCGTTTAGACTCCGGTGCCGAGAGACCGCGGGGCCATTCGGAGACGTCTTGGTTATTTTCTGCAGTATTTCCTCACACCTCCTTTCTATAATTCGTTATCTTTCTTTTCTTTTCTGGCTTGTTTATTTCTGTGCGGTTGTCTCTCTGTCTCTATGCCCACCCCTCTCTCTATCCTTATTTCTCTCTGTCTTCCTCTCTTTCTCTCTCTCTCTCTCTCTCTCACACACACACACACACACAAACGCTCTCTCTCTTTTTATCTCTCTCTGTATCTGCAACTTCCTAACTTGCTCACCCTTCTCTCATGCATCCTCTTTCGTATATCTGTATACATATATAGGTATGTATATACATGTATGTATACTCACACACACACACACACACACACACACACACACACATATATATATATATATATATATATATATATATATATATATATATATATATATATATATATATTTATATATATATATATATATATATATATTATATATATATATATATATATATATATATATATATATATATATATTTTATTTGTATGTATATATATATATATATATATATATATATATATATATATATATATATATATATATATATATACGCATATGTATATGCTTATATATATATATATATATATATATATATATATATATATATATATATATATATATATATATGTATATATATATATATATATATATATATATATATATATATATATATATACGCATATATATATATATATATATATATATATATATATATATATATATATATATATATATATATATATATATATATATATATAAGCATATGTATATGCTTATATATATATATATATATATATATATATATATATATATATATACATTTAAGTATATATATGAATATATGAATATAAATATATATAAATATACATTTTTACATACACACACACACACACACATATATATACATATATGTGTGTGTGTGTGTGTGTGTGTGTGTGTGTGTGTGTGTGTGTGTGTGTGTGTGTGTGTGTGTGTGTGTGTGTGTGTGTGTGTGTGTCTGTGTGTGTGTGTGAAGAACGAAGGGAGACGGAAGGCTGAAACTCAAACTGGAAGTACTCCATGAACAGGTTTGTCAGGTCTAGAAAGAGAGCACCCATGGCAACGGCGAACGTACTCCAGCGAATCAGCTGGAAGAAGGTATCGGTGAGCAGAGGGAGACGAGGATCCTCGGGGAGTAGTTTCCTCTGAGGGAAAGCGAGGATGAAATCAAGAAGGACGTTGGTAAACAGGAAGTCAACGTCTTAACTCATCATGGTCGCCGACGAAACACCACGCTGATTAAGGAGACATAAGGGAGTCGTCGCCCGTCCCGTGCTTTCCGCAGGCAGGTGACACTGTCGAGAACCACCACCGATCTGCCTTAGTTAGAAAGCAAAATGGTGATATCCTTCCTGGGTAGGCTTTGCAGGGCATCGCGGTAACGTCTGGGAGTGGAAGGCTTATGGTGGAAGAGGGAGTTGAGGGCTGGGATAAAAAAAAAAAAAAAAAATCCGAAGGAGAGATATCAGACAAGGAGTTTCTATGACCAGACATGAAACGGCCAAAGGAAGATATAATGTTGATGGAGGTAAGGGGGGTAGGGGGGAGTACGGAGAGCAAAGGAAGGACCGAAGCTAAGGAGTTGTTGCTGATGAGGGGTCAAGGGCAGGAAAGGTAGGTCGGTGACAACCTCAGTGAGGGAGAAGGGAGACCGAAGACTGCGGATGGTGAGGCTAAAGAGGTTCTGGAACAGAGAGCAGCCAGGGGTGGTGAAGAGGGACCAGACATTGGCACGTCGGCTATGAGCTGGCAGAGCTGCCAGGGGGCTGTTCCTATAGGAAATCCGAACTTATTCGTGAATAATAATTGAAGGCATGCCTGCCCAACGTAGATACGATCAAGAAGGAGAGACCGCTCATAGCCCAAGAAAGGAGACCCTGTGTGCTTCAGTAGATTAGAGATCGAGGAAGTGAGCACCTGCTTCTGGAGGTAGTCCCGAAGAAACCGAAGCTGTTCTTCCGTTGGACCGCGGCGGTGATAGAAGCCTCGTCAACTCGAAAGACAGGTACTAAGTTGGGGAAGGAGACAAACGTGAACGAGATTTTTAAAATTTCAAAACCTTTCTAGGTTTTATCTATTTCTAATCCCTTTATGACTTCCATAATTTCGAAACTCTTCAAGACTTCATTAATTTCAAACCAATTCATGACTATTGATTTTAAATAATTTCATGACTGTACTATATTGATTTTAAACCCCTTCATGACTATACCATAAATTAGCTAAAATTTCTAAGTAACGATCAAAGAAGTTCAACCACAGGGGCGTCAATTTTTGTTTTGGGGGTGGGGGTTGAGGGTGTAACTGCCCCCCCCCCTCGAATTTGGCCGCCCCTCAAGGTCTGGCTTGCCCCAAGGACCACAATTTTGATATTTTCTTTATACTTAATTACACTAATATAGGTCTGGTTATATCTTTAAAATGCCCAAAGAACTGCTATTTTTTTCCAAATTGTTGTTCGCCTCCCCCCCCCGGAAAAGCTGAAATGGCGAACCTGTTCAACAGTCACGTAATAGTGGGAAAATATCACTAAGATTATTATTTTTTTAATTAAAATTTTGTATTAATCTTTCGTCACAGCAGTTAAACATAAAACTAATTGCCAACTCCGAGGAACGGAATATTGCAAAATAACACAAATTATGACATCAGCAGAAGAGCAGATATGGTTTATATGGAGTATGTGTGTATGTGTATATATGCATATATATACATACAGACATTTATATGCATGTATGTGAGTGTGTGTGTGTGTGTGTATTTGTATATATATATATGCGTGTGTGTGTGTGTGTGTGTGTGTGTGTGTGTGTGTGTGTGTGTGTGTGTGTGTGTATGTATGTATGTATATATATATATATATATATATATATATATATATATATATATATATGTATATATAATATGTATATATATACCTATATACATACACATATGTATGTGTATATGATGTAGATATACATATATATACACATATCAATGTATATATACATATATATACATATATATCTATGTATATAATATGTATACACAGACATATATATGAATATATATATATATATATATATATATATATATATATATATATATATATAATATGTATTCACACATATATATGTATATATAACATGATATATGCATATATGTATATATATTATATATATGATATATGCATATATGTATATATAACATATATATATGTGATATATGCATATATGTATACATATACAGACACATATATGTGTCTATGTGTATTTCTGTATGTGGTTGGGTATGTGTGTGTGCGCACGTGTTTGCATGTTTATGTGCAAATTATAACATTCCGATAAATATCGCATATCCCATTAAAAAATATAGCAATAATAAATAAATAGCATATACATCTTCCATTTTATCCCTCGTCATCTTTCCCCTCTCCGCTTTCTTTTCCCCTCAGCACCCCGTTTTCTCCCAGACGAGGGGAGAGATCAGGCAATCACGGCAACCGCCAAGCTGCTTGTGACGTGGCCGTCTGTTAGTCATTATGCAAATAGCTTTCGCACTTACTTCACTAATTTGGTATTTTGCATTAATTTCACTTTCAACGTAGAATCGGATATACCGGTTTTATTGTGACAATTACAGCATAATACTGAGTGACTTGTTATTATTTTTTTGTCCTGTTTTTCCTTGACATTTCAAATGCGAGAGATTTACAGGTGGGTGAAAGAAGAAGCGAGAAAGATGTAGTGAAAAAAACAACAATAGAAAGGGTAGGGGTAAGAGAGAGATAAACGAAAGAGAGGAAGAGAGGAAAGGAGAGGAAGAAGGTAAGGGAAAGGGAGAAAAAGGAGAAAGCGAAGAAAAGGGAAAAAATAAAATAAAGAGGGAAAGGGGAAACTGAAGGACAAGGAGAGGGAAAAGGAGGAGGAGAGGGAAAGGAGAAGCCGAAGGGAGGAGAAGGAGAGGGAGAGGAAGAAGCAGTAGAGAGGGAATGGGAAATAAAGAGATGAAATGAGAGAGAGAGAGAGAGAGAGAGAGAGAGAGAGAGAGAGAGAGAGAGAGAGAGAGAGAGAGAGAGAGAGAGAGAGAGAGAGAGAGAGAGAGAGAGAGGGGAGAGGGGAGAGGAGAGAAGAGAGGAGAGGGAGTGGGAATGGGAGGAAGAGGAAGAGGAAGAGGAAAAAGGAAGAAGAGAGAACAATAGATAAACAAATAAAGAGTAATTTCAACAAGAACATTCATATATATATATATTTTTTAATTTCCCGGTGTAATGAAAGACACATTCCCCGACAAGTTTTTAAAAAGTACTATGAAAAAGAAATGATACTGCTAAGAGTCCAAAGTATAAAAAAATACTACAAATTAGGCTGAATCACACACATAAACTCAATATAATTTTTTTTAAAGGGTGATTTAGACTCCATTTAGACCTTGATTTGACCCTTTCTCGAGGTTGTGTTGGCAGATCAGCATCGGCGACAGGAGGGTCAACATCAGCTGTTCGGCCCCTTCGCTTTTTTAACTCGTACTGTGTGAGTTAACGGCAATTTTCCCGTGGGGTATTCGGTGTTGGAATTAAAAAAAGAGAGAGAAATGGACTACTCGATGTCAGGAGGGAGGCAGCGTAAGTGTACGTATGATGGGAAAAGAAGCATGGTTCATAGGACTGTACCTGTGCCTGATCATTTTTGAAGAACGTTTAATTTTCCCTTATTTTTTTTGTGTCTGCCCGAAGTTCCTCTTTTTTAATTTGCTCTTCGATCTTGTGTATTTTGGTATTTACTGCACTTTGTTTACCACCACACCTTTCTAAGGCCAGTTTTTTCCATTGTGTTAAGTTATTCCCGTTATCATGTTTTATCCCCAATGATTATTCTTTATTTGCTTGATGTAGGATGTTTACTCATATATTTTGTTTTCATTGTCCATAAAATACTGTTTTACATATACCTGTATCAAGGTATTATTGTACGAGTTCACACTAACAATGTCAGATAGATTGTAAGATAGCAACTATTTACTCGGTGCACTTTTGTTGTAGATTTAGAGTAATGATCATAAATGGCTAAAATAAAAGGCCTTCACTTTGCATTGTACTCTTTAGTTTTTCTGAAGATGAAGGTCCTGTATTCCACCTTCCTACCTCCCGTGTTATCAGAAGCAGAACAAGATGGTAGCAGATATTCAGGTTTTAATTCACTCACAGTAGGAGTTTCCAGTACCATACTGACCCACTTTCCAGGTTATGCGTGAAGTCAGATTCGTTAGAGAAGAATTAACCGTGTGGGAACCATAAATTCACCTCACTCTCTAGGCAATGTGAATAATTAAGTAATGATGAAAAGGCTACTTCTGAGGGGCTGCTCCTCTTGTTGTTAATGACCATAGGCAGGGCTAAATAAGCAAACAACAGTTAGCTCTTAAAACTCAGGGCAGGGTTGACAGGCATGAGACTATGGGCTGTTTTCCTGGTGCGATGGGTGGTCAGCCATAACATGATATCAATCTGCATTGACAGCTATAAGGGGATGTATCTGCCCAAAATATTATTACTGTTAACTGCGGAAAGGGAATTTGCCCCACAGATTTGAAAGTTCTTTTTATGCTGTTAGAAGCAGATACACTCCAAGGACTTCTAATCACTGTGTTGCCTCTCGCAGACTCATTATGTGCTGCCTATCGCTGCCTAAGGATCTTTGCCCTTTAACTATTTCAAAAGATTCTTATTCTTCTTTTTTTTTACACTTTTATGAGACAATTTTAAAAAATAGGTTTTCTTAATTTTTTCACATTTTGTCAAATATCACTTTACAGTATTATAATAAAAAAAATGTATTGGTAAATATGTAAACAGTATCTGCAGGAGATACTGAAAATGTATTGCAAAAGTAGACAACACCATTTCTATTATTTGGTGGATAATTAATATGGAAATGCCCTTAAATTTTTTTTAATAATATAAGGAAACCAATGCAGTTGTGGCTTGTGTAATGGAGGCTTCTAAAATGTTAAATATATCTGTATTATGTCTGTTAGATTTTATTATTAGTACAAGGGTTTTTAGTAAACTTATATTACTTCACATAAGGATTGATATCAGAAGGCTAATGTGAGAATGGTTCAGTCAGTATAAGTAATTTATTTTTTAGCAAATTGATGAGTTTTGAACTTGGATCCACAACTGAACAATGATACAATATATTCAAGCAAGCAATGAATTTTTTGAGTCTTCTATATTGTTAGATAAGGAGCCAGCCCATTTTTTTCATGATGTAAATTTGTAAATGCTACTGTGAGTGTGTTTGTAACTTGTACTGAATCAAAATAGTGTAATATGATATATATTCTATCTTGATTTTGCACTTGAAATCTAATTTTGTGAATAGGATTCAACTCTTCAATTCTAAAATGATAATACTTTTAGGCAAAGGAAGGGAGGAAATGGTTGGGTATTAAGAACAATTGGTATTGTTTTATTTGTACAAGGCAATCACTATTTCAGAGCATTCTTTTAAACAGCACGAATCGCTTTTCATTATAAATGCACTGCTAAATTTATTTTTGTTTATTGTTTGTCATTCACCAGTTGCACAACTAGATGAGCTCTCTGGTATATGCAGGATTTCTTGCAACATTCATGCAGGACTGAAATTTGAAAATAGGCCTTTTAGATGTCAGCAAAAATTCATATATATATATATGCACCAGTAGCTAGACACATAGTCTTGACACCTCACAGCCATATTTAAAATATGGCTGTGAGGTGTAGGTGAGGTTTAGATTTAAGAACTTTGTTTAATCCTAATTCCTGATGATAATGATAATAATGAAAGAAAAAACTGATAATTTTAGGTTCCACATAGCTAGTTGCCTTTATCATGGGTTTGTTCAACAGTTCTTAGATAAATGTGAATTGCTGTGCTGTGACAGTTTATAAAATTTTGTAATGCAAGTCATAAAGCTTCCTAATATTTATTTGTGTATATGTGTTAAGAGTAAAATTCTGTGTAAATAAATCAAACAAGTGGATATAGGACTGATTTTGAATTCTTTGTGTGTGATACTCGACAATAATACATGTAAACGTTTAAGATAAGAATGGACTGTGAAGCACATGTTTTACATAATCTAAATTTATACAGATCAGTAATCTATCTTAGATTCTTGTGTTTTGGAGAAAATGATAGTACTGTAGCTTTAGATTTAAGTGACATGGTAGCAAATCCTCAATGTTTAACATCATTTGGGGAGGATAGGCCTTCTATGTTTTGGGACAAAGATGATGTAGAATCCTATTGAAATGGTTGTGACTAATGCCTCTGGATAGAAGCACAGAGAAAGTGAAAACCATGCCTTAGCATGTATAAGGTGTTTCGTTATACATTCAGTAATTGCTGATTTAAGAATATTTTTTGCAGTAAGGATTGGAAAAAATAAAAGCAATAGTGTTTAGTTTCTACAGTGAAATTAGACTCTAAGATTCACAGTAGTTTTTATATGAATTTTGTATATTTATGAAATACATGATATTGGAACCAATTAGCATTTTAAAGATTTTGTTAGTTCTTTACAGTTTAAATAATTACATGTTACTCTTGCTATATTGTTCTTCAATCACTTTTAACAACTGCTTTTATTGAGAATGGCTAAGCTTACCTAACAAGACTGCAGGCAACACATGTATCATCTCATGAGAGCACATCCAAAATAGCAGTTAATAAAGCAGTGCAAGCCA